CTTGTACACATCTTGTATACTTGTATTTGTATGCTTTTTTTTTTTGTACACTCCTGGATTTCAAAATTGAATAGGGGACCCCAAGCACATTGCCTGAAATTTTGAAAATCTTTCAGAGTCTTGTTTGTGGAAAGCCCTGCTCTCCTTCTTCTACACACCCCCTTGGTTTGATGCCATGACTTAAGTAGCTGCATCATTACTTCATACATTGTTAGAAAGCATATGAACCACAGTTCATACATGACCAAGAACATGTTCTGAGGTTGGCCAACCAATTATCTTGTACCCTGTAACTGAACCCTGTATCTAAGCCGGTCCAGACTCCAGAACACTCCAATAGATGTCCACATCTATATCACATATGAACACTCACTGTTGACTGTGCCAGTATGGGCACAAGTGCATTTTATGTTTTTCTAGTAGGGCCACCGAGAAACAGTTGACATTTATATATTAAACAATGCTTAGTCTAAGCCTTTGGTGAGTCTGCACTAGTGGCTGAAAACTGTAGTGTATGCTACAGGCAGGGCGTTTGCTAGAATAATTTGTGCCCTAGGCAAGACCAGCTACTTGCACCCCCCCCCCCAAAAAAAAAATAATAAAAAAAACAGTAGAAAATATTAAACCAACAAAACATGAAACTGCTAAATTTATTTTAATTTGCAAAAATACGTGCCATAGGATGCCACCAGCACCAATATTAAAGACAAAATCAGTGACAAGGACAGACTATATCTGTGGCTGGCAGTGGCAGGGTGATAGTTGCAGTGAGTGGAGGGTGATGGATCCACACTCTGACAAATCCCAGGCTGGAATTTCCCGGGCAATGGGGGGAGATAAAACACTATGACAGCATGCAGCTGAACTGAGTGATCCCACACAGTGACAGATCCGACACAACAGACCACCACCAACACTTACACAGATCAACAGGCCCAGCAGGCACTAGAAGAGCAGGCTGTGGGATCGTGATGATGTCATAATTCACTGACACATTGCACATGGCTTGCAGTAAGGGACTGAGTCTGAGAGGAGTACTGGAAAAAGCGACAACTCAGCTGCTACATTGGCCCCAGGCATCTTCCTCTGTCCTTTCTTCCTCCCCTCTGCCACCCCTTATCTCAGCTGAAGGATCAATCATGACGTGGCGGTGTCCCACACAGAGAGAGTGCTGGCCTGTGGAGCACCCAGGCGCCCCTAGGTGGCAGTTTGCCCTAGGCAGCCACCTAGTTTGCCTAGTGTAAGTCCTGGCCCTGGCTTTGGGAGTCCTAATTATGCTTTTATCTGCTTGTGTAATATTAAATAATTCTAGAAAATACTATCTTTGTTTGATATGTAATGGGAAATTAATGAGTTTAAGCAGCATCACTTCATTTTCTCCTCTTAAATATAAGAAATTGTCTTCCATCTGTCACACTCTTTTAATTCTTCCTGAAAAGCTCCTGGGAAAATGTATAAAACCTCATGCTATAACAATAGTAAGTAGATTGCTGGCCACATGTGGAGAGAAGACATTAGCTGATTGGAAATATAATCTCTTTTGCTGGCACTGTGTGATCAGACCATATGCATTCTAACATGAAGTAAACATATATGCAATTCGATGAACAAGTCAAGCTTAACTATTTAAGGGTTTCAGTGTTCGAAAGGACATATATCATGTAACCTATATCATGCAAATGCATAGGATGCCACAACATTTTACTTCTATTTCTGTTTGGAGATATATATATATATATATATATATATATATATATATATATATATACAGTATATGTGTGTGTGTGTGTTTTTCAATTTAAATAGCATTCTTATAAAAATGTATTTCCTTCTGTAATCGAAGCCTATATGGAAAACTGTATTCCCATTGAATTCACCTTGAAAATATTTTAAATTTTTTTTATGTATCTCATCCAGTGTACTGTACACTTTTTCCAGACAAAGAAAAAATATTTTTTCACATTTTTACATATTTTATCCAGTGTACCTTTTCCACAAAAAAGTGGCCACTAGAGATGCATTGGTTGTGTGTTTTAACCTGTACTTATGATCAATAAATAATAATTTCCCTGAGGAATCTACTTGGAACCTTTGTGTTTATTGAATGCCTCTGCTGACCACACATTGGTTTCATTTTGGGCAGGAATCTCCCTAAAAACAAGCATCGAGTGCGTTTGCCCACAATCGACATGGAGATAGTCATATTCTCCACATGTGCTAAAATAGGTTGCTGGACCCTAGGATGGCCATCCAGCAAACTTGTGAATGTGCATATATACGCTTACTACACTTTTGCTATACTATTCTTATAAGTACAACTGAATACTACTCTTAGAAGGATCTCATGTACTGTAGCTTAGTATCCGTCATTGTCTCCTTGTCTTTGCTCTTCTGCAGCACCATTGATTGCTGGGATTGGGCTGTAATTCTAACTTCCCAGGCTAAAGGGGAAAAAAAGTGATGGCAATATTGGGCTGCCTATCTGATAAATCTGATAAGCACCTCTACAACCAATTTGTGTAGTGTGCTCACCTCTGTAAGGGCCTCTGAGAATATGTCCAGGTCTCCATAGCTAGTACAGGGGCTACCAATCACAAGCACAGTACCATGCATACCAACAAAACAAGTTCAGCCTAGGGGATTTCTTTTTAGAATTTATTGGTAAGTAACTTGAAACAAGAGAGGGGTTCAAGGATCAGGATGTTCCAAACAATAGTATAAATAACAGGAGGATAGCTTTTCACTAAACTTCTTTAGGCAGCCTTTGGCCTGGAGGTAACAGGGAATGGCCAGTATACCTAGGACACTATAAGAGCAGTCTCAGTCCATATAGTATCCTACTTGCACACCCAAGAGTCCACAGCAGGGTCTTTTGCTAACAATGTCCGAGTACCTGTCTGTCACACAGCATCCACAGGTAGTTCCTCAGTGGGGAAGACAAAAGATCCTACTCCAGACCAAGACTTCAGGTGATGATCTTCAGCAATAAATCTTTTAGCAATCTTCTCTTTGCCCACAGCCCAGCACCTACTGAGGCACAGATTGCAATTTTTTGTCTCATTAGCTATCTCCCAGGGACAGCAGCCTCAAGAGAACTGGAACCCTCCCTGGAGAGGAAAAAAAGCCCACTGGAAAGGCTTTCCAAACATTTAACAAATACCTTTTGTAAGCCTCTCTCCAGGGATTGTCTGGGGCATGATAAATATTTATACTGGACATATGACTCCCCCTGCCCTATATTCTGGAAGCTTCTCCCAGAAGCAGGTGGGAGAAATCAAACACCCATCTAAAAAACCCTGACCAGACAAAAACAATAGATCACCATTCCACTGACTGCTGTGAAGCAAAAAACTAAATTTAGCCTAGTAGCTTCACTAGACTTTCATGAGCTTGCATGGCAGGCAGACTACATTGCCGCTAACTGAGAGGCTGTGTTGTCATCCAGCAACAGAAAGTGTTGTTATCTGCAGGAATGCCATTTTTTAACAGCATCACAAAAACATTTTTGGATTGTGATGCCAAACATACTGAAAAATAGATTTTAGATTTACATACTCTTTAAGCAAACTTTTCGAGAACATAACAAGCCTTCTACATTGGAAACCAACATCTTGTCTAGTATTAGCTTCCTCTGTCAGCAATTCTAATCCAGTTCAGAGGAAATGACCCTAATTAGCTTATAATTAGGTTGAATGTAATGGCAATTCATGGAAAATTGCTCATACAAAAAGATAGGATGAAACGGTGTCCATGCTCTTCTGGGACGCAGAAGGAAGCTGCAACATCTTCTAGATTACATTTTTTCCATATAATGGCTGTCCTTCACTATCTCTGTGTTAATCAGATGTTTGCTGTTTGCCTGTTGCAGTATTTGGAAATACTCATTCTTTAGTGTGACAAAGCTTGAGCACAATTCTATTACATTTGAGCATTAAAAAAAGACATAACATTTGTCCTTATGCCCAACAGTTTACTGTACATTAAAATAATTGTTTTTTTGCAATATTTATATATACAGTGCCGAGGTTTCTAGACTTGTTCTTGGGTTAATAGGTACATTTGATGAAATGGATCAGTCTTGCTTCAGTGCATGTTATCATGAATAGTACATTGAAAGTCAAGACAAAACACTTTTTCTAATGTTTTAAATTATGTATGAGAATTCTGCTTATCGAAATTGCAGAAAACCAATGTTCTCCGTATTAGCGTGCTTGGCTAACATTTATTCGCTCCTATATTAGATGCATTTATTTTTCATGAAATCATTATGGGAAATTGGGTTGTTCAAGATCAATATTGGCTGACATTAAGATCTCAGAATATGAGTTAACGTGAGCTTAATTCTCTGACTTTTAACAAAAGGAACAATTCAACCTAGCAAAAAATGTATTTGGTATTTTTGGTAAGCTTGAAAAAGAAAATATTAAAACTGGTAAGAATTAGCCAATACGCTTTGTGCTTGTAATCTTTTGCTATTTTGTAAAAAAAAAAAATAGATAAACAGAGATGAAATAGATTAAACGAAAACATTTATATAATTCGTAAGTCTTTGTCCTCATGCACACTGGACGTTTTTACAGCGGCTGTTTTTGACTTTTGTCATTTTTTTCTACAGCCAGTAAATTCCCCAGCATGTAATCCCATGTGTCTATGCACACATAGACTGTAATCAACGTTTTTTGGCAGGGGTGTTTTTTTGCTGATAAAACCCCCCAGAACTAGTAGGTGTAAAAGAAACCGAATTCCTAGCCCTGGGGGGTTTTATCCAACCAAAAAACGTCCCAGCCAAAAATTGCTGATTACAGTCTGTGTGTGCATGGACACATAGAATAACATGCTGAGGAGTTTACTGGCTCCAGAAAAAAACATCAAAAGACAAAAACAGCAGTTGTAAAAACGTCCAGTGTGCATGAGGACTTATGCTCATATTCGTATGCATTGCTCACGTGCTCATATTTATGAATGAAGAAGAAGAAGATGTGGTGTTCCAGTTCATCATTTGCACATGAAAACGGGTCAAGCGCAGGGGCGGACTGACCATTTGGAAACTCGGGCACTGCCCGAGGGCCCGGGGTCAGTAGGGGGCCCCATGAGATGCCCCTGGAACCTTTTTCATAGGCTTTTTTGAGTTTGGGAAAGGACACAGGGGCCCCATGATCCCCTATTGCCCGGGGGCCCCATGAGTTGTCAGTCCGCCCCTGGTCATACGCATTCCAATTAGCATGCACACTTGGCGCCCAATGGCCTATTTAACTTGGTGTGTCATTATGAACAGTTGCTGAGTGGTCTTCAGCTTCTTCTTGTGTTCCTGTGACCTGATCCGCTGTACCTGCTTACCTGTGTATGACTTGGCTTGCCCTTGGACTTCGCTTCGGCTCCTGCTTAAACTCTGTTCACCTGATTACTCTGACCTCGCCCTGTTTACTAGACTTGCCTTTGCCTACTGTTTCGGTACTGCGTTGCCCAGCTGTTACCTTGGCCTGCCTTCTGGACTTGGTCTGTCTGACAATTCGGTCCTTTGCTGCCGTTCACAGCTGACTGCTGTATGCTTCATCTTCTGCTCTGGTGCCAAGTTGCTCCTGCACTCCATTCCGAGGACTGCGACTACCATCTCTACCCACCTACAGAGTGGACACCACCAGCCAGCTACTCCAGTACTCTTGCCACTCTTTGCCCTCACACTCTCTGTCTCCACCTTCAGGAGTGTTGGGCAGGAAGTGAAAGAGAGGCCTCCATAACATTCCAGTCTTCACCAGGTACATGATAGTGGGTTTCTAGAGGAGTTTTTTTTAGCTGTAAAAACACTGTAATGCTGAAAAACGCTGCAAAATGTAGTAAAATGGGGCAAACCAGTGTTTTGGAATTTTTTTGAGCAAAACATTTTTTTGTGTGTACAAAAAATGCTAAAAACACGGCTAAACGCAGCTAAACACTATCACAAAAATGCTAAAAAAGCTGGAAAAGTTGTGTTTTCAACGTGACTTTACACAGCTACCAGCATTATTAAAACACCCAGTGTGCATGGAGTCTTCCAGCTGGAATATGTCTTTGTTGCTTCTTCAGCATGTTTAATAATTGGTACAGCTCAATTCTGATTGGCTTGTTGGAATAACATGAAGCTTAACTTTATGTAAAGGTTTAATAAATATACTTAGTGGTACAACTCTTCAAACTAATGTTGATGGTAGTTAGGAAGTGACTCATTTTAACTGATTAAGATTGAAAACTAAATGTGTTCCAAATGCCTTGATGGAATCTAGAGATTTGCTCTTTATGGTGATGTAGCAATGTAGTGCAATAGTATGGTACCATTTCTCAGAAATCTCCTTTACTTGTTCCTGAACTTGGAGAGGTCACCAAATACACTCACATTACAGGTAGAGATTCTCAAATATTGCTCAGCAGCTCAAAGATGGCAAATCTCCAATCAGCAATAGGGCCCTGGAAACAGCCGAAGATAGTTTTTTCTTTTCAATGATAGGGTCCTTTTATTTTACTTTGGAAAAAATGGGAACAGGAAAAAATAATTTGATTCCATTAAAAAGGTGGAAATAAACTAGTTAAGGGTACCAAAAACCCATGTGTGTTACAGTGGTGACAAACCCCAAAACAAAAATGTAATATATTGCAGGTTATCAATCCTTAAGTGTGGTGGCTACATTATGTTTCTTTTTTTTCTTTAATTTTCACTTGGTGAATAGGCCAGTAACACACTTCCTGTCTTAGGGTGTTTCCACTCTGGATGGAAGGGCAACAGAGACACTTTTGGACAGAAACATTGTCATTTTTTTCTTTTGGAATAAAGGTTTTAAATAAACACATTTTGACCATCATAGGCATCCATGCCAGTATTAAATGGTTTGTCTCAACATTCTAACTTCCACTTTTTACTGGACAGCTTGGCGTGTTAAAATAAGTTAAAAATAAACAGATGTGTAACGACTTCCAAAGAAAATTCTTGAAAATATGGGAGCCGTGGTAGCAATATGCCTTTCCCATGCTCCTCCCCAGCTAGTCTGGGGTTGTGATGTTGCTCGGTATTGGCGTTCTCAGACCCCTGCTCTTGGTCTTGTTATCTTTTTCCTTTTGTACTCCTCCTTCCTTTTTTTTTTGTTTGTTTTTGGTGTGGCAGTGGATAGCTGCCTTTGGTTTGAGTTACTGTCTGTATTATACCAATGTTTTTGTCATTTATGTGCCATTGATAGACCCTGCGTGGGCGCACCTTTTTCTCTGTTGGTGTTAGAGCACTGGGTTTTTTTAAAAATTTTTATGTGCAATTGTTAGCCCCTGCGTGGGCATGTTTTGTTGCTCCTGTTTTCTTCAATTGTTTATAAATTAATACAAACATTGAAATACAAAAATAAACAGATGTGCTGGCTGGATTATTAGGTGAAAATAAAGGAAAAGGCTAATAAAAGAAAACTAATGCATCAACCACATCTAAAAATCAGTAAGCAGCAATATATTACATTCTTTGTATTGGGTCTTATACCACTTTAACCTCCCTAGCGGTATGATTATTTCAGATTTTTGGTGCTGAAAGCGGTACCATTTTTTTACATGGAAATATGTATTTTTTTTTTAATGTAGGCCTGTAATTTAGGAATAACTCACTGAAATCTGTTCAAACAAGAGTCTAGTAAACATCCCGGGTAGGATAAAACTTGAAACACAAAATCATAAATTATAATTTAATAAATAATCATAAAAAAATAATAATATATTAATAATAAATTTAATTAAATAATATAATCAAACCAAAAACACTGAAATGTGAAATATAGTGCCAAGTTCGCACATCACTGAGCAAAGTCGCAGAATCATTTTCAGTGTCTGATGACGAATTTCCCCACGAATCATTATCACTCAATTCTGCAAGTGGTTCTGATTTACTATCGCTGTTCTCTAGCTGGTCTAAAACCGCTTTTGACATAAAGAGACTCTTTTTGGACGCCATGGACGTTTCTAAGTTTCCAGGCACAAAGAACAGTCAAAATGCAGGCCAGGGACAGGACAAAGCAGTAGGGACAAAATGTATGTGAAATGTTTTGATACAGCAATGTTTTGCTATGTAATAATCATTTTAAAAAAAAGACATTTTTTAAAAAATTTCAAATTTGCCGCCGATTCCGGCGCCTGTATGTCCCGACGTCACAGGGACCGGAACATGGAAGCCAGATGCTAGCATCGGCCGGAGGAGATGGCTGGGAACGCTGCAGGGGATGCATCGTGGGAGCGAAGGACAAGGTAAGCACTGCAGGGACTCCCTATACAAAGCTGCATGGTAAGCCCGAGTGTAGCTCGGAGTTACCGCTTTTGGTACTGAAACTTTACCCCGAGCTACACTCGGGAATACCATTAGGGAGGTTAAATGAGACCATATAATTTCCCATTTTAATTTGACTGTCTTCAATTTGTGTGGAATTATGAGACACAAAAGAAGCCAGCACAACAAAATACCCCTCCCCTGACTACTCCATCAAGATCAATAAAACAACTACCATTCCATACTCAAGCCAGGGTGCTAGGTGTAATCCTGGGTTCTGACCTATCCTTTTAGCCCCAAATCCAATCACTGTCTAAATCTTGCAGACTTCACTACCGTAACATCTGCAAAGTATACACCTTTTTAACTGATGAAACCACTAAGTAACTCATTCACTCTTATCTCTCGCCTTAACTATTGCAACTCCGTAAAGACCTTCCTCTACACAGGCTATCCCCCCCTTCAGTCTGTCATGAATACTGCTGCCAAACTCACTCCTCAGTGTCTGGCACCCCCTTCTGCCAATGGCTTCCAATTGCCCAATGAATACAATTCTAAATATTACCACAAACATATAAAGCCATTTACAACTCTGCTCCAAGGTACATCACCAATCCAATATTATCTCAATATATCATTCGAACTGCTCCTGCCAAGACCCCTCCTGGTCTACAGCTCCCTTGTCTCCTCATCACATGCTTGTATTCAGGACTTCTCCAGATCTGCTCTCTTATTCTGGAACTCTCTACCCCAATCTGTCAGGCTATCTCCTACTCTGGCCACTTTTAGGTGACCCATAAAAAATAATTTCTTCAGGGAAACCTATCCTGCCTTCAGCTAACAACTGGATCTTTTATTTCTCCCATCAGTTCTTCCCTCACAATTATTACCTTTTGTTCCATTTGCCCCTACCTATTAGATTGTTAGCTCTCAAAAGCAGAGCCCACTTATATTGAATTGTTTTGTTGCTGTACTGTCTCCCTTTATATTATAAAGTGCTGCTCAAACTGATGGCGCTATATAAATCCTGTATAATAATAATAATAATCATACATAAAAAGGAACTGCAAAAGTCAAGAATGGCAAAATCTACAAAAACTGATCCTTCTATATGTACTCTGCATGTTTAATATTGAAAATATGAACACAACCTTTATTTATGTGTCACACTCTCCTAGATAGGTGCTAGGCGTAGGTAGTTTGATATAGTTTACATTTTGTAAATTTGGTTGTCACACTGTAGGCAGTGTGGATGTAAATATTGTTAGGTAAAAACATAACTGCTGTGTTCTGCTAGTTAGGTCTGCTCAGTGAGATTAGCTGCATCCAGGCTGATAGCTCCATCTGTATCTAGAAAGCTTGAGAAGCTTCTGGATAATAGTTGTGGAGCTATGCAGATGGCTGAATGAATATTGAAACAGCCCTGGCCTATCCCAGAGAGAGAGGCTCTGAGGGCATGCTGGGTAACTGTATATATTCAGTGAGCACACGGAGTTCTGGGTCTTTCCTATATAGGATTGTTACAGCCAGGAGGAGGGTATGTTGTCCTCCCAGACAATGCTGCTGCTTCTATTGCCATAGGCCTCAGGTGGGCAACCTGAGGGCCTGAATACTGAGACCTGGGTTCTGCTAAAGCTGACTGAGGAACCGTCTGCTGAAGATCTGGTCTGGTATCAGGGAGGAAGGCAACCATTTGCTCTTGGGCCTTGTGAGTACAGACACTTCTAAAGGATCTTAGAGACTGATTGCTACTTTAACCTCCTCTGGTGCTAGGGGATCAGCTGCGGTTCTAACTAAAGGGGACACCGGCTGGTGTGCTGAAGAGCTTTGTCCACGTATGCAGGCCATACATGGGTCAAATTCCAAAATAAAATTTTCTTTAGAAAATCTGAATTTTTGTGCATTTTGTAATCCGATGGTGCCACCATTGATTTCGAAATTCAATCAACCAAGCCTTCAATTTCACCTCATGTTGCTACAGAAAAGAATTTCCATGGCCAAGAATTTTCTTTTCTTTCCAGGTCACAGCTCAGGCTTATTTCTTTTTCATTTATATTTCTTGCATGATTCTTCCATCATTGATTTGAAATTTGTTCATTTTTCAAAACATTTCCAACATGCCCGATCACTCAGATTCGATGGTTACACAAAAATCGTCCATTTCTGTGGCCCACTAATGGTACGAAATTCGAACGAAAAGTCTTAGAAAAGATTTTTGAAAGAAAATTATTTCGAAATTTGACCCATGTATGGCTGGCTTTAATCTACTACCTAAAGCAGGGGTGGGCAACTGTGGCCCTCCAGCTGTTGGTGAGCTACAAGTCCCATCATGCCTCTGCCTTTGGGAGTCATGCTTGTAACTGTCAGTTTTTTAATGCCTCATAGGACTTGTAGTTCTACAACAGCTGGAGGGATACAGTTGCCCACCCCTGACCTAAAGGGATTCTGCTCTAGTTACTACTACTACTGCTGCCTTAAAGATGATGTCTACTGTTTGCTTCATGCATGGACTTCGTCATAGCTTCATCATAGCTTATCTGAAAGAATACCTCAACCTGAAAGTTCTCAATTGTACATAGTTCTTATTTTGGAGTATCCCACCTAATTCCCCATCCCTATCCAAATTTTTCAAAAATAAAAACAAAAACACCCCTAGTCTGATCATTGAAGAAATGTGTAAGTGAGCCTATGTGCCCAGCTGCAGGGCAAAGCTTTTGAGGAAAACTTGGGCAGTATTCCAGCGGCTCCTACGGGAGTAGAGCTACATACAGCATGTGCCAAAATAACACTGTTCAGTTTTGGAAAATGAATGGAGGTTATGTTACATTCATCAAATGTACATTTCTGTGGGTTTCGGTGCACAAATATTCACAGTAGACTTTGAATTTAGTTCAATAGTACAAGTATCTTACAGAATAGTAGAGCACCATGTGTTTTGGTTATAGTGCATTAAATCCTGCAGTTGGCCGAATAGTTTGCTGCCTTAGTAAAAACACATTGGGGTTGGTTTACTAAAGGCAAATAGACTATTCACATTACAAGGGAATTATTCTCATAGTTTAGTGAAAGAGATGAAACTCATCCCATCATCCAATCACAGGCACGCAAAAATATAGTTTTTTTTTTTTTTTTTTTTTCTTTGTACTTGATTGGGCATTCTTTCCAAAGTTAAATTTCACCACATTCACTAAGCTCTGGGGCAACTTCCCATGCAGAGTGTACAGTTTATTTGTCTTTAGCAAAGCAACCTCATTGCGAGGCCTTGCCTGAGACAAGAGAGGGTTAAACATGTTGCCCAAAACTGCTCTTAGTTTTCATCAAGGCCAATTAAGTGGATGTCTAAGGCCACTGGACTACCCGACTAATAGCTATATTGCTAATTAATTTCCTTGCTCTTGACTTTTTCCTCTGTAGAGGAAAGACTAATGAAAACAAGAAAAGGAAGCAAGCAGCGAGAGCTAATGTGACAAGTACAGCTCACATCAATCTCTTAGCACAAGAAATGAGTCTGAAAGGCCGCTTGGTGCCATAGGCACTATATGTTGCTGGTTACATATTAATGGGAAGAATGACCCGCTACAGTCTTCCAGAGGAGACTGAAGCTTATTGAACCAGAAGGAAATACATGGTCCTTTTAATTTCTTTATAACTGTGCCGTTACAGATCCCACCCAGCAGCAAAACTTTAAGTGGGCTATCTGGACTTCAAAGAAATTCCCAGAATTAAATTACTGCGAAAATATGAGACAGGATTTTAATTAGTCACTGAGCGCTACAGTAATTTGCCTGTGTGGAAAGCTGTAGGAAATGTGAGCACTACTTGATATATTCCGTAAACCAGTTCTAATCCCAGAAGATTTAAATCAAGTACTAAGAATGTTACATGGTATGGGTTTTATGTATCCTTTATTCCCATGAATCTTTCTTGTTTGCTCATTTTAAAAAATTCATAGTGCGTATCACAACTTTCCTTGACTTTGACCAGAGGTTAGATCATTTCTGAAAAGAACAATGAACACATTTTATTTGACTGCACACTTGCCTTAAAGCTCAGCTCCAACCAAAATAGTTCTTTTTATTTTGGATAATGGGTTAGAACCTCTTCCAGGTTTTTATTGAAATCTGTGTTCCCAATAACCACTTGCCGACAGCATATAGCCGAGTGACGGCTTCACTGTGGCCAGCCAGTTCTGGGAGGGCGTCATATTACATCCTCCCAGAACGCGCCCTCCCGTGCGCCCCTGGGGGCCCGCACCCGGCGATCTCCATGATCGTTGTGTCCTACGGACACAGCTAATCACGTTATGTGGTAAAAGGCCAATCACAGCGACCTTTTGCCACGTGATCAGCCGTGTCCAATGACACGGCAGATCACCGGTAAATGCAGTTGCCGGTTATCGGCTGCACTTTCCTCACGCTGTCACAGCTTGAGGAAAGCACTGCCGATAACCGGCAATTATCAGAGGAGGTATCAGCACCAATCATCAGGGCACTGATGATCAGTGCCCTGATGATCAGTGCCCAGCAGTGCCACCCACCAGTGCCGCACATCTGTGCCCAGCAGTGCCACCCACCTGTGCCCAGCAGTGCCACCCACCAGTGCCCAGCAGTGCTGCCCATCAGTGCCACCCCGCAGTGCCCAGCAGTGCTGCCAGTCAGTGCCCAGCAGTGCCTCCAGTCAGTGCTGTCAGTCAGTGTCACCCATCAGTGCTGTCTATCAGTGCCCATCATTGTTGCATATTAGTGCCAGCACATCAGTGCCTCCTATCAGTGCCCCTTATCAGTGCCCATCATTGTTGCATATCAGTGCCAGCTCATCAGTGCCGCCTATCAGAACCACCTCATCAGTGCTGCCTATCAGTGCTCATCAGTGCTGCCTATCAGTGCCTTTCAGTGCTGCCTATCAGTGCAGTCTCATCAACGCACATCAGTGAAGAAGAAAAATTACCTGTTTGCAGAATTTCATAATAGAAACAAAGAAAAACTTTTTTTTTTTCAAAATTTTTGCTCTTTTTTTGTTTATAGTGCAAAAAATAAAACACCCAATGGCGAGTACATACCACCAAAAGAAAGCTCTATTTGTGTGAAAAAAAATGATAAAAATTTCATATGGGTGCAGTGTTGCATGACCGCACATTGCACAATTTGGCCTGGGCAGGAAGGGGGGTATAAACGCCTGGTAGGCAAGTGGTTAAGGAGATTTTATTTCTTGTCCAAATGATAGAAAGGGCACTTTCACACTGCCTGCTGTGTTTTGGCTGCAGAGCAGTATACCCATGCTTTTGGTGTGGGTTAGCCACGCTTTCCCATAGACTTCTATTATGTTTCATGGTTTTGGTGCTCTTTCAGAAAAAGCACCAAAGCCATGGGACATAATAGATGTCTATGGGAAAGTGTGGCTAACCCACACCAAAAGCATGGGTATACTGCTCTGCAGCCAACGCACAGTGGTTCACTGTGAAGAGCATGTCAGAGAAAGAAAAATTATGTGAAATCCATTCAACAGAAAAGCAGACAGCAAGAAAAACATAATTTTTTAGAACAGAGTGGAAAGGTTAGAACCTCAGTTGGGTTTTTATTGCTGTGTGTGGTGGTACCCTTTCCTCTCAATTCTTGTCCTGGTGTCCTGGAGACACTGGAGACAAAAAAAAAAAAACTCCAATAGAAGGTCTATCTCTTTTACACTCTTTCACACTACACTCACAGGCAGGGGTGGACTGACCATCAGGGCACTAGTGCACTGCCCGAGGGCCCGGGACAAGTAGGGGGCCCAATGAGAGGCTCCTGGTACCTCCATCCTAACTAATCTGTGCTGAATCCCAGAGCCCCTGTTAGGCCAGTTACCACTAGGGTCACGCTAGCATGGGCCCTTGGATCACCTTCCCCACATATCTTGCAAGGTGACCGGGGTTCCACACGTGGCGATTACCCCTCTGTTGCAGCCAACACCAGCATCTCTCCCCACTGACAGCCCACACACCACATAGAGCTCACTGGGGATCCTCCTCTCCCTCCTTAGCTCCGATGTTCTCATGTATACAGACAGGATGAGGAGCCGGGGAGGAGGGACGTTACACTGCAAGAGCCGCACTGGTTATCTGAGGTCTATGTATAGTTTAAAGATGGATACAGAGGAGGGGGACACAGTAACCGGGAAGTGGGGGGCAGGTAACAAGAATGCACACATGGAGAAGTGATGGGAGAGAAGGGTCAGAGGATATGTGTTGGAGGAGGTGCTTTGCGAGGAGAGAGGACTTCTCTGGAAGGTGGGGTGAAGTGATTTTAAATCCAACACCCCCCCCCCACTAGCACAAGTCCTTTTTCCAAAGCACCCCAGCACATATCCTCTTACCCTCCTCTCCCCCAAATCAAAGAGATGCTGCCTGCCACAGAAGGGCAATGGACATGGGACATGTGAGAAGGGACCTCTGTCATCATCCCAGGGGCCGCTCTCTGTCCCCATCCCAGGGACCCCTCTCCGTCCCCATCTCAGGGGCCCCTCTCTGTCCCCATCCCAGGGGCCTCTTTCTGTTCTCATCCAAGGGTCCTCTCTCTGTCCTTATCCAAGGAGCCCCTCTCCTCATCCAAGAGGCCCCTCTCTGTTCTCATCCTTGGGTCCCCTCTCTGTCCTTATCCAAGGAGCCCCTCTCCTCATCCAAGAGGCCCCTCTCTGTTCTCATCCTTGGGTCCCCTCTCTGTCCTTATCCAAGGAGCCCCTCTCCTCATCCAAGAGGCCCCTCTCTGTTCTCATCCTTGGTCCCTCCCTGCTCTGTCCTCATCACAGGGGCCCCTCTTTGTCCTCATACCAGGGGCCCCACTCTGTCCTCATCTTAGAGTCCCTCTCTGTCCTCATCCCAGGGGCCCCTCCCTGTCTTCCTCCCAGGGGCCCCTCTCTGTTCTCATCCCAGGGTCCCGCTCTGTCCTCATCCTAGGGTCACTCTCTGTTCTCATCCCAGGGTCCCGCTCTGTCCTCATCCTAGGGTCACTCTCTGTTCTCATCCCAGGGTCCCGCTCTGTCCTCATCTTAGGGTCCCTCTCTTTCCTTATCCTAGGGGCCCCTCCCTATCTTTCCTCCAGGGGCCCCCTCTCTGTCCTCATCCCAGGGGTCCCTCTCTGTCCTCATCCCAGGGGTCCCCTAAAAAGTAACTGTGATAGAGGGCTCAGGACAGTAAGGGCTTGTTTACATTTGCAGTTTGGGAGTGGTAAAACTCCATAGTTGAGACACCCTGTCATGCTTAGCAGGTGTAGCGCCTGCTAAGTGTGACCTATAAGTGTGGCCCTTGTAGAGTGACCTATAAGTGAATGGGGTCACTCTACAAGGGCCCTTCACCCTTATGCAGTACAGCAACCAAGGGATTATAGCAGGTAGCGTTGTCTCGCCACCTTACCACCAGCTTTAACCTCTTGGATCCCACACTAGCAGGCTGTGTACATTGCATACAGTTGCAGGGTGTTTGCAGAGTGGCCCCATTCACTTGAAAGGGTCGTAGTCACCCACCAAAAGTGCCAGGGGGTTAAATTCCTGCCGCATCATGTGTACACCCTTAGCTTCTGCAGCTAAAGGGGTTAGGGACGAATGCCTGTAATGTGGGCAGTGCAATAAGTAGGTGGGGCTTTGTGTGGGTGTGGCTTGAGTGTGGGCAGGGACACAGGAGGCCCCATGATCTCCAATTGCCTGGGGGCCCCATGAGTTGTCAGTGCACCCCTGCTCACAGGATTCAAAGGATTTAGAACTTAAATTAGTTCAAAAATCTAAATGTTTTTTTACCTAGGCATTCTGTGCAGAAAAGTGAAAAAACACCCACTACCTGTCCTAGCCTCCTCTGTCCATAAATGTCTCTGGCTCCAGCAGCCCTCACCTCATCTCCTTTCACAGGAGTAACTGGGGGCAAAAGCTTTTTGAATTGATGTTTAGGAAGACTCTATGAAGAACATTAGGGCAGTGTCAGTAGGGCAGAGGTTGTTGTCAGTCAGTAGAGCAGTGGATGGTGTCAGTAGAGCAGTGGATGGTGTCAGTCAACAGGGCAGTGGAAGGTGTCAGTAGGGCAGAGGTTGTTGCCAGTCAGTAGAGCAGTGGATGGTGTTAGTAGAGCAGTAGATGGTGTCAGTCAACAGGGCAGTGGAAGGTGTCAGTAGGGCAAAGGTTGGTGTCAGTCAGCAGAGTAGTGGATGGTGTCAATCAACAGGGCAGTGGAAGGTGTCAGTAGGGCAAAGGTTGGTGTCAGTCAGCAGAGTAGTGGATGGTGTAAATCAACAAGGCAGTGGAAGCAGTCAGTAGGGCAACAGTTGGTGTCAGTCAGTAGAGCAGTGGATGGTGTCAGTAGAGCAGTGGACAGTGTCAGTAGGGCAGAGGTTGGTGTCAGTAGAGCAGTGGATGGTGTCAGTAGTTTTTATTTTTACATGTTTATTTTTTAATATTTTTCACATTTTTTTAGGAGCCCTGTTGAAAGTTGAGCACTTGGGGGAAGGTCCAGGCAGTAGAAAAAAGGAGAAACAAGGACAGGAGGGGCAGCGGAGGAAGCGATTGCTAGAACCGATCCCCTGGATTTTTCTCCTGCAGCAGCTGTACTCTGGTGGGAGAGCGAGGAGAAGATGCTAGCTTTCAGTTGCTCCAGGAGGACAATAAAGGGGATCGTCAGAAGGCAGGTATTTTAAAAATCTGAACTCTCAGCAAGTGGCTAGGGACTGGGATTGGGCGCCAGCATAAGGCTGTTTAGGCAGCTGCCTTATGACACCAGGGTGTGTGGGGGGGCAGAAAAATCCCAATCTCCAGCCACTTGCTGGGAATTCAGATTATTCAGATTATTTAAAATACCTGTCTATGGGAGGGGACATTGCTAGTGGGGGGGAAAGGGGGGCAAAGGACATTGCTGGGGTGGAAGGGCGCCAGAGGTCACTGCTATGGGGGATAGTGGGGGGCAGAGGACTCTACTGTGGGGGGGGGGTGATATGAAGGGCGGTAGTGGACACTGCTATGGGGATGGCCCTGCTGATAGCAGTTTCCTCTGCACATCACCCCCCTCCCCCCCCACAGTAGGCCCTCCCTTTCCCCGATAGCAGTGACCTCTGGACCCCCCCCCCCCAGAAATATCTTCTTCCCCCTTTCCCCCAGCCTCCTCTCCGCTGCTGCTGTCATTCTCAGTGGTCTCATTCGCCATCTACCTGTCACCTGCCCGCAATCGACAGGTAGATAGCAATCGATGGGTTTCCGACCCCCGATTTAAACCATACAGCAGACATTTTTAATGTGCTTGCTAAATGTTTTGATTTCTCCCTATTACACCAAATATCACTTGTTGGTTTGTAACTCTGGCCAAAATCATCGTATTTAGAAAGTCTTACAAATCAACATTTAATACAGCATACACCCATGACCCTTGTGTCACATGACACCTGTCTGCTTTCAGGCTTCTCTCACTAACTGAAGCTCTTTAGGGTTCCCTCTGAACAGGTAGGAAGGTGTCAGGAATGTCTAGCACTTCTAATCCATCACAGCTGCTGGATCCAGCATCCTGGTTTTGGCTGTAATACATTCTCCCTGTCTGTCCCCCTGCAAGGTGATTGATGTGGCCAGTCTCTGGCTGGAGACCAAACCTGATTTAAAGTGGTTCTAAAGGTCAAAAGGTTTTTTACTTTCATGTATTCTATGCACAAAGGTAAATAACCTTCTTTGTGCAGATGCCCCCTTAGCCCCACTAATCCTTACCTGAGTCCCTAATCCTTACCTGAGTCCCTCTGATCCAGCAATGTTCCCAACAGTCTCTGCTGTCTTTTCTTCCTCATTAGCTGAGACAGCAATGGGCTCCCACTGCTGTCAATCATGGCCAGTGAGCCAATGAGGAGAGAGCAGAGGACAGGGCCAAGCTACAGCTCCATGTCTCTTATGGACGAGCAAACAGCAGTGCCCCCCAGGGCGAGTGGCTTTCCCTGGGGGGCACTGCTCTAGTGGGAGGAGCCAAGAGCGCCAGCAGGAACCCAAAAAGAAGAGGATCGGGGATGCTCTTTGCAAAACCACTGCACAGAGCAGGTAAGTATAGACATGTTTGTTATTTTAAAAGGAAAAGAAAATGTAGCTTTAGTGTCACTTAAAGCCAGCCAAGCCTGCAGTCTCATGCTTGTGATAGCGCTGGTTACACATGGTCAATATCCCTGTTTGTCTGTCCTGCTTTGCTGTCTGGATTCCCTTGTTGACTACCTTAGATTGGGTATCGACTATTCTCTGAACTCAGATGTCACAATCCTTAGATGATGTCAGGAGGGGTAAGCATAACGCGTTTCAAGTGTCTCAGCCCTCTTTTTCAAATGCATAAAAAAGAGGGCTGACACTCGAAACGCATTATGCTTGCTCCATGTACACTGCAGCTGATAAACTCACGTTCAGGAGCTGTTCTGCATTTTTTTCAGCAGCCCCTGAACTCTCCCTAATGTTTTCCTATGTGTCCATGTACACATAGTCATTTACAGGCAGTTCAGTTAACAGTCGTTTTTTTTTAACGCACCAAATTTGAGTTCAGGAGTAGATTTTATCAGTGTTTCAAACGCCAAATGTTTGTAAACGTGGCTAAACGCGGCTAACTGCGTTTGCATTTTTTTTTTTTAACTCTTCCATTTCCAGATGCTGTCCAGAGCCTTTTTTCATCATGTAAAATGCATGCAAAGTGTTTTTCCGGTACTCAAATGGACTTGGTACACCATACTGTGAGGTTTCGCATTAAAGAAAAAATATGTTAGACACTGCTGCAATAATTTCTGCACAGAAATGAGCTGGAACACATCCAAAACACCAAAAAGAAAAAAGACAGCTAAGCTCAACAAATACTGCTGTCTCTGCTTCTGCTCTCTCTATTTATCTCAAAATGTCTGAAATAGTTAATTTTTTACTGTTTTTCTCTGTCTCCTGAGGTTATCTTTAAAAAACGCTTCTAAACGCAAACGCTGATAAATGTGCATAAAAGCGATATGCAAACG